GAGAGCTATGCATTGATGGACAGGATGAGTGGAAGGGAGTAGCGCTCTACTGTGCGCGTGTTTTTGGTGCGGGAGGGTGAGAGATGGACTGCGAGTGTTTGCTAGAAATCCGATAATAAATATGAGTGTTGTATGTGGGTGCTGGATGACCGATGGTGGCTAGTGATGGGGGGTGTAGTGATAGAGATGATGAAGAAGCTTCAAGGAAGAAGCAAGAAAAACCTGGCGGGGACGTATATGCCTTGCTTCGTCACTTGCAATTTTCACTGTGGAAAGTATAAAATAATGTGACTTTTTTTTTTCATGTGAACTTTCCTTCTTCTTTTTTAAATCCGCAGGCATTAATATTTAATTAAAAAAGCTACGCACTATCTTTGGCTGAAATTTGTCGCCGAAGGCACTTCAATGAGCCGACGAAAACTTTTGATATTAAAATGAAAGTGAGCGCCATACGAAACTTTTAGCATTTTTAGTGTTCTTATATCCTTTCTACGGTTTTGCGAAGCTCAAGGCAACAAGAACGTCGTATCATAACTTTTTTTGTCTAATGCTTTGTAGAGTTTATTTATTATTGACATAAAATCTGCCAATCTTGATTAAACGTCTCATTATATTTGGCCAAATAAAAATGTCGAAGATGGTTTTGTTCTGCCGATGACAGCCTTTTCTTCTTTCTTTTATGATAGGTAAAAAGTTTTTGATTGTTGATACAGCTAGAGCATCACTCGTTAATTTGACAACTAATAGAATTTCCATTTGGTTTAGCATGCAGTAAAAAATTGATTAAGCAGAGATATTTCAAAACAGTAGTACTCGTAAAGGTTAAGCTCATGATTTGCGTATCGTTCACATGTGTCTAATCTCATTTAATCTTCACTAATATTAAGGGATGCGAGTTTCCTAAACTTCAACTGCCATGGCTCCTCGTTTTTCCACGTAGAGCCCTCGGACATGTACTGAAAATTTTCCGATCCGCGTCCCTCCGAGTGAAACTAGTTGGGCTGAAAAGTTCGGATAGAAAAGAGAGAGAGAACGGCTAACCAATAAAATGATTGTTAGTGTCAAAGATTTGACGGATTAATTTCTCGAACTTCAAGTTAGGAAAAATCCCTATCGTGTTTTGTAGATGACAAAATATTTGAGAATACTAACATGTGTAATTATGTGTGTAGAAGATACTGCTTCTTGACATTATAATAAACGATTATCTTCTGCAGATCTTCCTCATCTAGCTATGAGCAATTGAAATCAGACAGATCCAGTTTTAGGCTCAGAGCAGAAACAAATCTCATGGAGCTTGAACATTGTTTCAGAAGAAACTTCACCTGACACAATGTCCAGCATGAATACATCAAGCAACCATCCGTTTTTTAAAAGTTGAAAAGCCACCGGCATTCTTCATGCATTTAACGGATCATCCCCAAATTTTTTTTTTTTTTGGACAAAAGAATCATCCCCATTTGAAAACAGAATTATCTGCAAAAAGAAGGATGAGTTCCAGCATTAGATAGAGAGAACATCGATGCACCAACTTGGCGCGGGGAGAGAGACTGAACGAGAGAGAGAGAGACAAATTGCAAAGAGAACAACATTTTAGATGTGTTAATCAGTCATCTTTGCATCAACTTCTATGTATATATGAACTTACTTTTCACTCAACTGGATCAATCTATACACAGCTTTCGGCATTAATGAAATGAGATTGCCGTGGCACTTTGAACCCAGTGCTTTTTAGGTCGCACAGTTGTAGTCTTGACAATGAAGAACCTGCTGCAGAGCTGCCTCCAGAAATAGTTTCCAAGCTATCACATGATTTTACCTCAAGAATCTCCAGGTTTGGCGGTAAATTAGATGAGGAAGAAACTTCTTTGAGCTTGGGACAAGATCCGATTTTAGTCTGTTTCAAATTCTTGAAGCTCTCAGGCTTCATTTTCTGACTGCAAATAGTCTCCATCTTAGTCACACCGGAAATATCAAGAACCCTCTACATTTTCGGCTTCTCCAAGAGTTTCTTCTAAACTCTTGAGATTTGGACACGTCTCACTATCAGGACTTGCAAGGAGGCCATTGTAACGCCAATTCTCTCCAGCTTTGGTAATTCCATAAGACCCAAGGTCTGCAACGTACAATCTGCAGGCGCATGAGGTTTAAATAGCTCTTTGAGATTGGGACAGGATTCGATCTTAAGTTGTTTCAGATTCTTGAAGCTCTCAGGCTTCATTTTCTGACTGCATATAGTCTCCAGCTTAGCAGCACAGGAAATACAGAGAACCCCTAGATTTTTGGCTTCTCCAAGAGTTTCTTCTAAACTCGTAAGATTTGGACACCGTCTCACTTTCAAGACTTGCAACGAGGCCATATTAAGGCGAATTCTCTGCAGCTTTGGTAATTCCATAAGTTACACTCTGCAGGCGCAAAAGGTTTAAATAGTTCTTTCATTTAATCACAAAATTTGATCTGGAGGATCTCTAGGTTCTTTTGCAGCTTCGACAGTCGGAAAATGTTGGCAAGCATCGGGCAGTATTCTATGTACAAGCTCTTAAGATCTGAGAAGACCTCTGTTTCAGACTGAAAGTCATCACCACATACAGATTGTAAGGAAATGAGATTACACAGATAAAGAGAGGTAAGATTTCCCAAATCTCTGGCCTGTTCTTCTACATCTACTATATTGGGAAATTCTTTTCCCTCTCTAATATCTCTTTATTTTGCCAGGATATAAATTCAAGAAAAAACGCACGATTTATCAAAATAATACTTTTTTTTTTCTGTAAATAGATGATGCGATCAACACAATCAAGCATAATTACATAGAATGTAATGCGAACATGCATTCATTCCTTGCACTTATTATTTAATATATATTGACTCACTTAGATATACTCAATATAATTATTCCTTCTTTCATATTGGAATGGGCACAGCTTTTAGAGATTGAGCCCTTTGGACGGTTATTCCGAACTTGTCTTCCATGTTCATGTTCTCAAGGATAACACCATCTTCGAGCTTCCAATTGAATATGTTAATGAGCGAACCGAGCATCAGAGGCAACATTCTCATGGCCAATGGCAATCCCGGACAAATCCGCCTGCCACCACCAAATGGTACCAGCTCGAAGTTTTGTCCCCTGACATCAATATCGGATCCAAGAAATCTCTCGGGCAGGAACTTGTCTGGATCATCCCAAATGCTTGGATCTCGTCCCATCGCGAACACATTTATGAGAACTTGTGCACCCTTTGGAATGGTGAAACCGCCTATAACAAAATCTTCTCCGGATGTCCGAGGAAGAAGGAGAGGAACCACTGGGTGCAATCGGAAAGTCTCTTTCAAGACGGCTTGTAAATAGGGTAAGCGAGAAATATCGGCTTCTCCAATCTTCTTGCCTTTGCCAATAACTTGATGGAGCTCGGCTTGGGTTCTTGATAGCTTTTCCGGGTTGCGAAGTAGTTCTGTCATTGCCCACTCCAGAGTGCTCGAAGTGGTTTCGCCACCGGCGACGAATATGTCCTGCATGATCAATGTAGCAAATCAAAGAGTTTTGTCCTAGAAATTAGATCATAATTATCACAATTAGGGAAGCAAAATTACGAGGACAAAGTACCAGAAATAGATGCTTGACTAGGGAGATGTCCAGGGTCTCATTTTTATCTTCAACTACATCAAGGAGATTATCCAAAACATCGTTACAGTTCACCGAACCGTTCTCTGTCCTCAGCTGCAACCTTCTCTGGATCACGTCATCGAAAAAGTTTAACAGCTTTTGGATATGCACCTCAAGGCGACGCTTCGAACCTTGTGGGTCAATCTTCTTGAGTACGGGAAAGTAATCTGCCAGGTTAGGCTTTCCAACCTCAATCATGATTTGCCACACCACCTCCTTCAGCTCTCCAGCTGGATTCGAAGGTTCCATCATGTCCAAAGAGAAAACGGTGTTCGTTATCGCGTTAAGGCTGGCCCTGAAAGCCGCCTCACCGATATTCACTGCCTCGCCTGCATTCGCGCATTTCCTCACAAAGGCGACCAGCTCTTGCACTTTCTTGCCGCGAAGGTGTTGGTTCAAATCGAGTTTTTTGCTGGAGAAGATATGCAAGTTGTATATTTTCCTGAGGTTTCGGAAGAGGGGCGAAACAGGTACCCAGGGCAAGCCTAGCTTGTCATGGTCATGGGCCGTGACGCAATGGGGAATGATACGATTCGAGAAGACAGCATCGTGGGTCTGGAGGATTTCTTTGGCGAGCATCGGTGAAGAGACCACCACCGTGGTCACGAAGCCGAGTTCCAGCTTGATGATGGGGCCGTAAGTGTGAGCGAGCTTAGCAAGGGACTTGTGGGGAAGATCTCCGAGCTCGAGGAGGTTGCCGATGATCGGGAGAGGCCGTGGACCGGGGGGCAGTTTGGAGGGCCGAACTCTTCGGCCTCTGTCGGCAACGAAAGAGAGAGCATGGAACAAGCCCCAGAGGAGGTACAAATACAAAATCAGAACTAGGTAATCCATAACTCTTTGTGAATCTACAACTAGAAGAAGTGCGATCCCTTCTATATTTATACTTGGAGGTCATTGAAATTGTCGTATTGCATATACCAGATTTCAAAAGTGCTAAAGATTACACCGACAGCTGGCGGTCGGGGCGTGATGAATTCTGCCAAAAACCCTTCACATGCTTTGGCAGGCAAATGTGAACCACACTGCTTTGGCAGGCAAATGTGAACCACTGCTAAAACGTTTCTCGATCACACAAGAACATTTCTTTAAACTGATATGATAATACAAATTCCATATTTTTTTTATCCATTCATAAAATAGAAGGGACATATTCCATGTTCTACCTAGGAACCGGCTGATTCGATTCTAGGCCGATTCCAAAAAGGGGTGTTCGATCACGTTCCCGATTTTATCCCGGAATCGGACCATGCTCATTCCTAATCGCACTTTTAACAATCAAGAGAAAACGAAAGAGATATGCATTTACACAACAATATGCAAGCTCAAAGCCAAAAAAGATGAGTGCTCAAATGATCAATTCCCAGCTTGATGATGTGATAAACACCATGGATGAACTTGTTCCCCATACAACAAACTGATGCACACCAACATATACAAGGATTGAACTTTTTCAATCAAGAGAATAAATGCATTGCTGGGCAATCAATTTTGACCCATACACCGAGAGAAACCTCGAGTATATTGAAAAAAAAAACGTCATATTCTCATATCATTTCCCCTGAATCAATGGTTGTCGTATTGCTTGGCCTGCGCTGTATGCCTCCTCCTAATGACTACAACCAGAAACTCACGCAACTTGGGTTTCACACTGACATGGCCCGCTTGACAATCCTTTGACTGCAAACCCGACCGATGGTTCAGAAGATTACAGCTTCTCACATGGTTTGAGAAATTCTCAGCCTGCTGTAGTGTCTTTTTGCATTGTGCAAGGATCGGGGCACTTGGTTGAGGAAACAGGGGTTGAATTTAGCTCAAGTATTGCTTTGCTTCCTTCATTGTAAGTACCCACACATATTGTGTCGCCACGACCATGCCAAATTCCATCCTGGACATTGTTCATCTCCAAAGTTCGGGACTCCTGCTCAATATTGAAGTAACATGAGGGGGCACAGAACAGGAAAAATATAATGTAGACTTTCCATTAGCAACACATGATAAACCACTGTTTGTGCAGACTTCGACTGAACCAATCACATGGAGTTTGAACATGATTTCAGGAGAAACTTTACCTGACATAAGGCACAGCATGGACATATAAAATGGTAGACACAATCGTCCAAAAAGCTGTCGGTACCCTGTAAAAAGAGATCAGCGAAGAAGTTGAATGTCAAGATTCATTGATATTGAGAAATTAAAATAGATCCAATGACATTAATCAGCCCAAAAAAGAAGTCAAGCGAAATTATGACAACAGGGGAAAAACGGAAATGAAAGCAATAGAAAAGAGACGAGACACTAATATGCAAAGCAACTAAGTGAATTATGTGACTCCTGACTTCACCAAAACAATTCCTAACTCTACGGGTGTTTTCTTTTGTTCTTTTATTTAGTGGGTATGATCGGAAGCAGGAAATAAGAAAAATCGTAAACTTTTTAGATCTTGGACCACTATTAGTGCCACACAATTCTTCCTACTCTAAAGGGAATTTTCAATTTCATTCCCCAATTCTCAAATTACATGGAGATCAATTGAGTGAATCTGGATCTTGGCTCTTAGATTGTGACTCCTAAAACTTCCCGGATCTTGGTCCTCAACTAAGCCAAGCCATCATTTCTACTTGAGATTTTCAATCTTCCTACTGGCTCTTGGCACCCTCATGGCTCTTGGCATGGCAGCAGACCTAACATGGAGATCTAGTGACTCAAATCACATGGCGAGATGGCAACCCAACTCATATTTTAGCAATGATTGTGAGATGCATCAGTGCTTGTAGCAACCATGTGACCAGGGGTCCACCGTTTATGGAGTACGGTCATCCTCAATGACTATCATGCTACTCGGAAACCACTGTAGATGCAAGTTACAAAAGATCACACAAGATCTCAGCTATACAACTTCCAGTCCTCCATTAATGGCTATCGAGCTCATGATGTCACTGTCCAATGTATATGTCTCTAGGGCTTAAAAAATTTCAGTAACTAGAATCCTGTCTTTCTATTCCCATGTGTGCTTATTTGAAGTAAAAACTAAGTCAATCAATGCTTGTCATGGTTTCAGAAATCGAGAAATTGGGCTGGCCCATCCCTGTCTGCAGGCAAATTGACATTTGACAACTACACTTGACCAAAGAGTAACAAAGCAATGAATATGATTGTTACAATGTCGATTAAATTCATAGTTAAGGGTAGACTTGAGAGGGCCCTCAATGTCTAAGGATCTTTGCCTAACAAGCCCCATTTCAAAATCAAATGTGTGAACACGGTGGGTGGAGATCAGACGAAGAACTAGACAAAAAGGCGAAAAATGAATCAGCAGGAAAAGCAAAATATGAGAGACAACAGTCATCATTTAGGCAGAAAAACAAAACAAGGGGAAAAGCAGGAAAAAAAATCATATTTTTGCACACAAGTTCAAAAAAGTTAAGTTACCAAGACCCTGCTTATATTAACCTACAGTGTGCTTCCACCGTAATAATAAACTCTCAAATGTCACAGTATCATGAGGATGGAGATCCAACAAAAGCAGATGAACTATAGTAAACAAGCATTGGTACATAAGATTTCAGATTGAGGCTGCTTTGGTTCAATGTTGGTTGCTACCAACTTTGTAGACTACGACTTCTTCAAGATAGCAGATATACAGGTCTCTAACAAATTAGAGCACTTCAAACAAGAACACATAGAAATAAGAAACTTTTATCTCATCGACAAGTAAAACGCAAGTTTGTAGTCTCAAAAGATTACGAACGTGAAGAGGAGATCGCGGAAGTATAAAATCGAAGAAGGACCAATTGCTTTTAAATGGAACAGAAATAAGATCCACAGAAACCATAGAAACAGAAATTATTTCCAGCAGAGAAACCATATATAACTTGGAAAAGCTTTGTGTACAATTATCGAATATATATCAGATACATAGACAGGACACAAAGCAAGAATGAGACACTTACTTTGATGTTAAACTTCTTTCTAATTTGTGCACGGAATAAACCCATATATGTTCCAAGTGAGAGGGCAAAAGCTACTGCTAAGTAAAGAAATAAGTGTCGCTTGGTTACTGCAAAAGCAATCATGCTGAAGAACGCACAGAAGGCAAGAACAAAGTGGAAGGTTCCCTGCAAATCAAATGACAAACCCAAATCAGTGACAAAGCTCCCTGTTTAGAGAAGTCTGAGATTTCTGAATCTTGAGAGCTTATAAGCTGCCGGTGAAGCATATGGGCAGATCTCGCAGGAAGCTGCGTTCCATGTTATAAAAATAAGCACACGAATCAATATCAATATTTATTTATGAGGTCCAACTGACAGAGAAACGGTTACACATGTTTGACAGAACCTCAACAGGTGAACTAAGAATGTACGCCAACAAGACAGCAGTAAGGTGCTTGCGCTCCAACATCAAGAAGTCGTGCATTTGAGCATAAAGCATCATTCAGACAACAATTAGAGTGAGAGTACACAGAAGACTTTCAAAAACCTTTTTTTGTGTCAATTATGTTGGCTCCCCTTTTTACCTCCAAGACCAACTATTGGCGTTTTTGGCTCAAGAAAGGCATGATAGAGCCAAGAAAGCCAATAAACTCAGTTTGATGTCACTGTATTTGTTGGAAACCACTAAATAAGCAATGCAATCGAAAAAGTGACTTAAATATGCATGTTGACAAACACAAGGTCTAGTCAGCTCGTAGTTACGTTTTCAACATCCCGTGATCTCAGTAGACGAATGAAAGGGACTTCAAAATATGCTTTATCGATACCCTATTATGTAAATTTCGCCAAAAAGTGCTTAGTAGCGGAAAACCAACTATGCCTAATCAGAGAAACTTCACCATAGCAAAAAGAAGCATGGTCATCCTTCTCGATGATTTACCTGCATAAAGCAAGAACCAAACCCCGCACGCTTCATGTTTTTTCCAAATCTGTAGCATGGACAACTGCACAACCCATTGCAGAAATTACTGACAGATGCACGATATTATTAGTTCATAATACAAAAGCACACAGATAATTAGTCCCATTCAAAAAGTCAAAATAGCGAAAGCCGTCCCACTCCCCAAGTCAAAACACAAAAAACACATGTGCTGAACCAAAATAGAGGACTTGGTCCAACAAGAGCAGAATTGTCTGCAAACAAAATCTTTCAACCCAAAATAGAAAAAGTATTCCACACATAAAAAATTGTCCTTTCACGGCATAAATGATTCATCAGACAAACCAAAAAAAGAAATGCTTCCGTAATAGATGAACCCCTATTTGCATGAGCTGAATTCAAGCCCAAAACCCCGGAAACAACAAAAAGATCTGTCTTTTTGTTAGCTTCCACCGCAAATTGTAACATCAATTCGCAATAGTTTATGCTATCTTCTCTTCAACAGAAACTAAACAACAACAAGATCATCAAAAGAAAAAAGAACAACTAAAACTAACCATGAAGATTGAAGAGCAACACGACGATCCTCGAAGCAATCAAGAACCTCACCTTCCCACATCCTAAAAACTCCACCCCCAAGCTCCAACCCCTCATCGTCCCCGCCCCCGCCCCCGCCGCCGCCGCAATCGCCGCACTCGAGCTTCCTCCATTTCCCCTGCGTCTGCAGCGCCACGGTCGAGCACAGCATGTCGAAATCAAGAACCGTCACGCCCTCCATCAACGGCCTCTCCTCCTCCTCCTCCCCCTCCCCCTCCCCTCCCCCTCCCCCCGCTCTCACTCTCTTCTCCGCATCCGCCATTAACGACCAGCTCCCAAACCTCGCGACCCAACAAAAAGGAGGCAACTTTCGGTCCCTCTGGCGCTGGTTTCTCGTGGGTCTTGTCCTCCTCTGCCCTCCTCCTCCTCAAGGGGCTGTTCTTCGCAGCTTCTCCGAAAAAGGGATCTCCTTTCGATGCCCATTTGCGCACACCATATGCATTTGATTAAACAACAATTTCGGGTTTCTTTTTCCTTTTTGTTTTGGAGCGGTCGCTGTGGGATTTGAAGGATAAGGAAGGAAGAGAGGATAGTGACGAAAATCTCTCTCTCTCTCTCTCTCTCTCCAAGATTGGGGTGGCTGATGCGTGGGGGGCCCGGTGCCCGCCGTCCGTTCGGACAAGCTGGCTCGCGGGACGGTCCAGCTGTCGCCACGTAGGACGGGGACGTAGGTGGTTGCTCTGCCCTTCCTACCAAACGAAGATTTGGCGTCCAGATTAACGGTCTAATCTTGGATTGGTTGACCCTTTTCTTGGGGGGGGATGAAAATGGATTCTTTGGGGGATTCAAGATTTGGATTGGATGCTGTTTCTTCTGGATTTTTGGGGTGGGGCGTTGGGATGTTGAAACTTTGGAAGAACAGAGGATGCTGCTCTCTTTTGTCGTCGTACTCTTGTCAAGTGATGTCGGAGGGAGAAAAGGTCAAAGGGGGTCGAGCTTCACGTGAATTGGCGTTGAATTGGATTGAGCATGGGGAAAGGGAAAGGATGTGGAAAGCGAAAGTGAAAGTTTTGTGCGGGTGCGATTTGGGAAAACTCCGTGATGAAAACCTACTTCGATTTTTCATGTTGGGAACGTCTTTGATTTGCGAAAAAGTGAAATTTTTCATCATATTTTCGGGAGTAAACTTATGCCTTGCGCAATCAATTATACATAAATCGATGCAATTTTTATATTAATGTATTATTGGAGATGTCCTGAGGAGCGAGGCTCACTGCTCCGGGGGGCATCAACTCCCACTGAATCGGGTTTTCTGGCTAGAATAAGGTGGCGGGGAAAATGGCAAGGCATAAAGCCGGGATTTTGATGGGGCGGGACGAGATAGTAACAAACTAGTTGATCTATTGCAATAGCTTTCATTATCTATGTACATTATTATAATAAGAATTTTTGAATTTCGTGTTCGCCATCAAAATTAATTAAATATCCTTATAATTTATATTTTCTTACAATAATAAAATCTAAAATGGTGATCTCCTACATTTGAATGGGTGGTTACTTCCACTTCCTGAAAATGCTCAAAGCATCATTTCATTTTCCTCCTTCTTCAGCATGTGTGTAGCGTGTGATATATATTATAAATTAAGGGTGATTGATTCTCGGATGATCCGATTCCCACCCGGGAACCAAGAATCGAATCATCTAGTCTTGGAATCAAACTGGACCGAACTGGTCAAGTTCTCGGGTGAGCCAATGGAACTAGTGTGTTTCATTTTTTTTCCTCTGTGTTGAATTTGGTAGCTCATTGTTTCACTTTGCTATAGTGAAAAAAGTGTTTGTGATCACGACAAGATGCAAATCAAAATCTGAGGGCAACTTGATATTTCGCATCCTATTGCATTGCATCGCATCGCATCTCATTGTCTTCGTACACCATTTTGATTTTGGATTTCAATTTGGAAAAGACGATCCTAAAAGCCTTGGATTTTGAAGACGATGATATGCAAATATGGTGTACAAAGAACGGAAAAAAAAAAACAAAGCATTGAATATTTACCTCAATGAGATGCTATTGCAATCATGATCGACCAAAAACAGAGCGAGAGGGAGGCAAGAGTCGAGACTCGAGATGAGACTGCGAGAGGAAGGCGTTGAGCAAGAGGGGCACAAGCGACTCGAGTGATAAGGTGGCATATGCAAGTTGAGCGAAAGAGCTGTGATTCAGAGCCTTGAAGATCTGTGAAAGAGTGAGTGATTAGGGCTTGGAGTGAGCGATTAGTTTTTTTTTTAGATATATGAAAGAGTGAGCAGGGTAAGGGTTTGTGAAGAAATAAGAATTATGGCTTTTTAGTTTTTACAAATTTGTAATTTTTTTTAAAAAAAGTCAGTCTAGGTATTGGGAACCGGACTGAAAATCGCTGGTTCCAAAAAATTGGAACTGAGAATCGGACCGGTGTCCCTAGTAACCGCCCAGAACCGGTCGGTTTGGTCCGATCCTGGCAATTCCTTATGCTCACCTCTATTACAAATGAAGAGAATCTTGAAAAAAGGTGGCACAAGATCAAATCGAGAATTGGTTGGGCCCGGGCCAAACCAAATCTTTCTGCTCCCGGCCGAAGCCCCTTTAGGCCCGACCGGCCGGCCCATTTGCACCCTCAAACTCTGACCTCGCTATATAACCCATGTAATCTTCTTCCTTACCCTACCCTCTCAGCGTCTGTGCTCCGCCGCGAAGCTCTCCCTCCGCTAGGGTTTTCTGGGGTTTCTCTGTGGGTCTCCTCTGAACCTCCTTCACCATGGTAAGCGCCGAATCTCCTTCCGTTTGACCCTCTTTTTCTTTTGGCTTAAAGCTTTAAGCATCGTTTCTTGCTGTGCTGCGCAAAAGAGGCCTTTGTGAGCTGAGAGATGGTGGGAGTAGCTGCTTTGTGAGTATATTGGGTTCCGGGTTGCTTTGGGTTGTGGTTTGAAGGTAGTGGAATTCTGGGTCGTGTGTCTTTTGTTGTTTAGTTAGCTGCAGCAAGTGAAATCGAGTGGTGTCTTTCTTCATCGTGTGATCGTTTGCATTTCGAATTCGGAAGTGATTCAGTGGCGGATCTCTTTGGCCTGATTGGTTGTTTCCGTTTGAAATAGGTTCTCCAGAACGATATCGATCTGCTGAACCCGCCGGCGGAGCTTGAGAAGAGGAAGCACAAGCTCAAACGTCTCGTTCAATCGCCCAACTCCTTTTTCATGGTATGACACATAGCGACTTCTTACTTATTTGGGTTATTTTTGTTAATTGTTTTAGTTAATGATTTGATCTTTGACAAAGAATGAGTGTGTTGGCTGTCTGAAAGTTTAGTTTTTTAAGAATTATGAACTTTCCATCTGTCTTATTAGCATTTGGGAGCGGTTATTGTCTGCAATCTCCCTTTCTTTTAGAGTCGAACATGTATTTAGAAAGGCAGAGCAATTTGTCTAATTAATTTACTTTTGTGTTTTGGGTTTCAGGATGTGAAGTGCCAGGGGTGCTTCAACATGTGAGTATTCGCGATGTTGATATGCGAAGTTGGTTTTGGTTGTGCTGTGAATTGATGTTAACTTGTTGACACAATGTTTATAAATGCAGAACAACTGTTTTCAGCCACTCTCAAACTGTGGTGGTTTGCGGCAACTGCCAGACGGTCTTGTGCCAGCCAACTGGTGGGCGTGCTAGGCTCACGGAGGGTTGCTCTTTTAGGAGAAAGGGTGATTGAGAAATGTTTAGATCCATTTTTCCTTTAGCTGCTACGAGTTGAAGAGCTTCAAATTTTCGTTTTTGGGAAAAGAATTGGTCTTTACTTGTTCCATCTAGTATCTTTTTTCGTTGGATCAACATATCCTTGATGACAGTTCCTTTTCTTCCCCTTTATGTATGTTATGATGGATTGGAGTGTTCTTTCTTGGGATTAAGATTTTGGTTCCGTTAGTAAATTCATAGTTACTTCTTACATGATGGCTATGTGGAAGTCTTGAGTCACCATGCTAAGATGAGTTTTGCTGCTGTGAGCTTGTATATGCCATTGCTTAGTGATGTCTTATACACTGTGTTGGAAGATCTCGAGTTGATTAACTTCTGTCTGCTTACATCCTAGTTTACCCTTTTTTGGCTTGTATGCGCTGCTTGAAATCCTGAGGCAGGAGCACAGGTTGGAAGCTCCTGATCTTTTATTTAGTCAATCTTCTTATCATGTATGTTTCTTAGAAACTTACTAATGCCTCAGAGATAACTCAATTGGAGGAACATCTCAAAGAGGGTCAAGTTAAATGTAGGGTGTGAAACTGTCGGAAGAACTACGTGTTTAATGTGCTGATAATTCATCTTTGCTATGTGGTTAGCGCGCAACCGAGCGAGCTAGATCAGTATCTTGAATGCCTCTTAAAGAATAATGCAGGGGAAGGTGTGTGCATGTTTTGAAAGTTGTGGAGGATGCTGAGCTGAGTTTCTGCTCTTTTCGTTAGTTATCATTCTTTACCTGAGTGAGGTTGTTCGCGAAGATTGTTAGGTTAGGCTTGTCATGGTGGTTGAGTTCTGGCACTTAGACCTAACAGTGAGCATGGCCCGGGTGAACGGTTCCAACCCTAGAACCGGGAACTGCCCACTAAGGATCGGTTCTGAAAAATTAGAACTGAGAATCGCTCGGGCGGTCCGGTTCCCGGGTGGTTTCATGGAACCGGTCCCACTAGCCAAGGACGGAGACGGAAAGACGAAGATGGAGATAGAGATGGAGAGTCAGAGACGGTAAGGTAAGCATCGACCAAGAAGAGTGAGAGCGAGCATGAGCGTGAGGCGAAAGCGAAAGAAGGTGTTTTTCCGCTTAATGTGAGGTTGTGAGCATCAAACTAGTTAGGTTTAGTTTAGAGATGTATAATCTTTTAAAAAAAATTAAAAATTAAATAATTATATTTATTATTATATTATCGGTCCGGTCCGGGCGGGCGGATGGTTCTACACCTAGAACCGGGAACCGGACCGGTACCCATCGGTTTTCAAAAATACCCATCGGTTCTAGTCTGGTCCAGGCGGTTCCGGACGATTCGGGAGGTTCCCAGTTTTTTAGCACACCCTTACTTAGACTTCGGCCTTTTCAAGGGAACTATAACGGTGTAGCATTTCTTACATTGGCTCTGGACCTGCAATTTTACAGTTATAATCCCGTATTTTGCCCCTTATTTCATTGGGGGTGATGAGATGGGATTTTGCAATCGAAGTTTGAAAGATACTTTCCGAATGTTTTATTTGAAAGCGAAGTCGGATGAAGACCGGATCGCAACTCAATCTCGAGTAATGTTAGTGCAACAAATTGGTGAGATCTATACACGAGCAAAATGCGCAATCGGCCTGGCTAGAAGGCGGATGCGCCAGTCCGAGAGCGTAGCTTGAACCGATACAAATCAAATTGATCAACTCTAAAGAAACACGTGATGGAGATGAGGAGTGCATTTGGTCACTTTTCTTTTACTTCGATCCCGAGCAAAATGAGCTCGCACGCTCTCTGCAGTCATCTTTTTGTGCTTCAATGTGAATCCCCGTGTGTATAGGTGAAGCAGGTCCCAACACAGCTAGCCCGGTTTTGGTTGGGTCCAACCGACTCGAACCCAGGTCAGTTCGATTCTCCACACCTCTTAGTTCAAAGTCGGGTCACGAATAAGCTCAATCGAGCTCAAGCAAGATCTGTCAAAATGAATTATACATTCATTTCTTAATTTATATTTGATAGGCAGCGTTGTTATATGGATTAATTATATTAAGTAAATAAGTTATAAAATCCAAAATAATTAATTATAAATGGATTCACAACTTACTTAGACCCATTTAACATCCACGACTCTCTTCTCACTTTCTCTCGTTGTAACTTGATCTCACGGTTGCTCACTCCGCGCTCTCTCCTTAATTGGGGTATGAATTTTCCAATACGAGACAATATGGGTCGAATCGATTATGAATTAGGTACGTGTCGGGTCAGATACATGCCTCTAGGTTAGTATTGCATGCAAACGGTCAATTTGAGTCGGATTATTTTCGATCCAATCCCATCCATTCTTCTGACGGGTACCGCTCAAGCTCATTGGGGTTAGACCATCTCCAAGAATATATTTTACGAGCACGTGCAATGCGATCACGTCAGACCCGATCCTATCATTAGCTTTTCGCTTCGTCCCGTCTCGGTCACGCCATAACCATCCTCCTCTTCCCCTCCTTCCGCAGTTACCGAAACATCATCAGACGACAGTAACCCAAAGACAGAAACAAACGATAAAAATCGAAACTTTACGAAACCACGAAAATCAAGAACCCGATAAAAAGAAAGAAACCGCCATGAGCACCCCGAGGAAGCACCACCCGTCGCCGCCGGACGCCGCCGTCCTGATCCAGCCCTCCTCCCCGCGCTACGCTCCCCCTCCGGGGACGCCCACCGCCGGCGCCCAGCGCAAGATCGGCATCGCCGTCGACCTCAGCGACGAGAGCGCCTACGCCGTCCGGTGGGCCGTCCAGAACTACCTCCGCCCCGGGGACGCCGTCGTCCTCGTCCACGTCAGCCCCACCTCCGTCCTCTACGGCGCCGACTGGGGGTCCATCGACCTCGCCCTCCACGACGAGGCCGCCGCCGTCGCCGTCGACGCCGCCGAGGATGCCCAGAAGCGGAGGCTCGAGGACGAGTTCGACGCCTTCACGACGGCCAAGGCCAACGATCTGGCGCAGCCCCTCGTGGACGCGCAGTTGCCCTTCAAGATCCACATAGTGAAGGACCACGACATGAAGGAGAGGCTGTGCCTGGAGGTGGAGAGGCTGGGCCTGAGCGCCGTCGTGATAGGGAGTCGCGGGTTCGGCGCGGCCCGGAAGAACGCCAAGGGGAGGCTTGGGAGCGTGAGCGATTACTGCGTGCATCACTGTGTTTGCCCTGTGATTGTTGTCAGGTTCCCTTGTGACAAGGACAAAAATGGCGGTGGCAGCAATAAATTGGGCAGCCCGGCCGCTCGGAGCAGTCGGTGTGTGGCAAGCCCGGCGGTGCCCGAGGAGGAGCCGGAGTATCATGATGCATGTGATAAGCACAGTGGTATGTTCGTTTTTCTTAAGTGGCATTGTTTAAAGATTGTTTTACTTGGTTTGGAAGATCATCTTGTTTGGTGGTTCTCCAATTCATGTTTAAGAAATGTTATTTAATGTCTCTGGGATGTGTAGTTTCTTTAGAAATGTCATTATTCACCAATGTCTGCTTGTTATATGATGACTGATTTTACTGGTACTATAAAGTTCCTCTTTTGTATTAGCTAGCAAGTTTGTTGTTGCCGGAATAAAAACACTGAAGTTCTTCTTTTGTCTTGGAATGTGACTGATCTGCGTGGGAAGAGTTGATCATTGCCGTGTGAAAAATTTGGGCTGCAGTCTAAAAATTTGAGCTTGAGGCAGTCAACTTCAGTTTTGCCTTTTTATTTCTTCTGTAACAATGACTAGCCAGGAAACTTTCTGAAAGATGAATATCCGCACAATGTCGAAATTCTGTAGCACTGATTGCTTCCTTGTATTTACTAAGTAATTCATTGGTGTTCAAAGGACATAGGAGATTATCAGCGCTATCTAGATTGTCATTTCTGGTGATGTGTCCTGCATTATAGAGCATAAACTGCATTGAAAACAGTGAGGTGTACCGCGTATGTAATCACCAGAGTTGTAAGTAGCTGCATGTTGTTAGGAAGGGTGGTCTAGGATCATCAGCGTGGGATGGTACAGAAACAGAGATCCAGGTGGAACTGCTTAGTGAAAGTATGCTCTGGTTAGTACTTGCATATTCAATTTAGCTAGAAAAGATTTGCAGATAATAATATACTAATAATGGCACGTGAACTTTTGACGTAGCGTTCAGCGAATAATTCAAGCAAAACCTTGCTTAGAGAGAAAAATCTCGAAATTCAATATTGATGATAATAATGTTATCTCTTCAAAACAAACCCTAAACACCCTTTTATAGGGGTTAAACCTAATTACAATAGGAAACCTAATCATAATAGGAAAGTTACCTAATCTGAATTGGAAACCTAATCATACTAGGAAATCTAATCATAATAGGAAAGTTAATAAGCATCAAATAGCAAAATTACAAAAACGACCCTTAAAATTAACTCATAAAAAAATACTAAAATAATAGAAAAAAAAATCATCTAATCGTATCACCGTTTCGCTTTCCGTTTGGACTTCTGTTTGTCCAATCGGTCCAGAAACGCACCACTAATAAATTCCGCATCAACTTTTGGTAAACTTCTCAAATATTTTCACTGAAACTTGAAATATGCAACCACCAATTGAAGCTCGTGCAGTAGATTGCAAGTTGTTGATTATTTCTTTTATTTTGCGGTGCTGGTAAAGGTTTACAAAGAGAAGATAATAAAATTGTTACATTTTCTCCATACTTGACCTGTATGTTTGAGGCTTTCCCAGAAAATAAGCTTAAAAGTAGAAGATGGCGACTGGAAACTCCAGATCGGTCTAACTTTTACTTCCAAACAGTCATTTCACTGTTGTATCTGGTCTGTTGAATATACTGGAATGACGTAATTTTTGGCCACGTGTAGCTTTTGACCAAATGGCATTAAAGCTAAAGTGGCCACCTTATGTCACATTTAGCTGTAACATTTAGTTCTACCGAGCGTCCATTTTTTTGAAGTCAACGATCATTGAATTCAATCTTGTGATCCAACAAGAATACTAAATGGAGAAAACAAGGAGAAAGAGGACAGAGTTGGTACCGTTTATGCTAATACTTGACTTCTTTTTACATTTAGCTGCACAAGGATTCAGTACAAACAAGAGGATTTTGACCTTTGATAGATTTTCTTTTATTGTTATGATCAAGATAAGAGAAGATCTCTTCCTTTTATATTTTCGACCTTTTGCTGTCGAAGTTTGGTTTTTAGCTCCAAAAAGCTATTTCACTGTCTTCTGTTGTTCCATTACTTTGCAAGGTAAGGAAGTTTGGTGGTGATTGTATCTCAAGGCAAGTGCAGTTGAAAATGGGGACTTACTTCCTTGTGGTATGCATAATGAAATTGTTCTTGTCAGGCTGTCGGTTTAGGAGTCTTAGTATTCTAATTTAATCTTCTTGTATGAAGCCAAGGAACACGTGAGGTTATGGACTTAGACCTATAATCAATTCATTCATTATGAAAGTTTTATGATCACTTTCTCCTTGATTTTCACCTTCAAAAAGCTAAATGTCCTTTAATCCTTTTAGACTCGTGGATGTATATCTGAGTTTGACATGATCAAAAAAGGATAGTCTGATCCCTGAAATAACTCCCATTTTGTCGATTTAAGATTTGGAGAATTAGAATGTCAACATAGTATTACAATATTTGAGCTCGAGTTACTGTAACCTTCTTATCATAACAATGAAAAGAAGCAAAGTGTATCAGTCTTTTGAGTTTGACTTCGTAGAAGCAAGAACATTATCAACACTCGAGCATTTTTCCATTAAGAGTGAACTACATGGATCGTCTTATCATCTTATGCCATTGTGCTTTGCCCTGAATTAAACCCTACTAGTATTCAGGTACTTTGGTTCAGTTGTCTAATTCAAGGGATTCCTGTTGTATTCTCTGTTTCTTGTTATCCCTAGTAACATTCATATTTGGCTAAAGAATGTGCATTTTAGCAAAAGGGAGGACGAGTGAAGATTTATTTGTCTACTTTTTTGTGGTTTGGCATGTAAAAGCCTCTTATTTGTCAAATACCTAACTCCATAGTTGAACTGTATATGGTGGATCCTGTTTTGGGCAAGTGTTTGAGATCATAATGTTTCAGATAAAAACATGAAAGGAAGTTTCGAGCTGACTTCAGTTGTGAGAAATGTGTTTTTTGCATTCTGACAGTCTGTAATAGTTAACATCATGCGGCCTTATTTGGAAATGAAATTGACCGAAGACCTTTGAGGCTTTTGGATGATCTGAAAATAATTATTTGGTTTGTCTTGTGGTCACTGCTACATTATAGGCCTAGTGGCATAGTCCAAACCTGGATAACTGTTGATGTGGTGGTTGTTGAAGATGTGTCTTTTTAAGCCAGTGTGTTCTGTGATTGCTGGTATTTGAATGAAGATGATGGGTTATCACATGACAAACAATGGAAAATGGAATGTTAAGTGCATACTCTTTAACCTTCCCATAACTAGGTGTTTTTTTTTAAACAAGTGTCAATCATCCAACAGTATCCTCTGGGAAACTTTTACCCCTGCCGCCAGCTAGCTCCTAGGAAACTCTCTATCCCTACCCACCGTTAGGGTCTATTTAAGTATTGTGATCTGTTGAACATTATAAATGGAATATGGTTTTTGAGGGAATTTGGAACTGGTGTATTACATATATATGCTGTTGGACAATTGTCGGTGCTTAGATAAAATTTTAGAAACCATCTTTGCTCATCTGCTACCACATAAAGCAGGCAACTTGTTTAGGATAGACAAAAATGGATGGATTGTTTTCTGGAACTCTAGATAGACGAGGTGTGACATTGATGAATCTTTTAAGAATTTAATTGTTTTGAGAATTGCCAATTCATTTCTTATTGACCTTCTTGCTTACTTGGACTGCATATGCACGCACGTGGTAAATTTTATCTAATTAATAGAACGATCATTCAACTTTTCTACCTGTCGTGTGGATCATCTGTTAAAATTTGGATTTGAATCAGTGTTACCGTTGATGTGTTGGTAATACTAGAGGAGCAGGCAAATGCTTGTTTTGTAACAAGTCACGTGTTTTGTGTATAACCAATGTGCCAGACAAAAATTGAAAGTTGTTTTTATTTCATCTATTATGTATTTAGGTTTATGTTGAATATTCACCATATCTTACCTATGGGCGGGTGCATAGAACTGAATTTAGTGGCAACCTCTCCCGCTACTCTGGCTGAATGGTCCAAGTTCTTTTTTGAAATGCAAATTTTTTTCTATTTAGGCATTAACGGAATATTCCGGGGTTTTGAGTGGGGAGTTGTTATAATTTGACAAGCTCCTTGTATTTTGCGGTTAGTACACTGTACAGGTGATCAATCTGAGACCGAACCGTGATTTAGTGGCATTTTGCAATGCTCGAGGTATACGTGGTTCGTGCATGAGAGAAGTTTGAAGAACTTTATTAATACGTGGAAAGCACACTGCGACAATGTTTATGTCTTGTAATCTTCGTGTTACATGTTGGCGGTGTTGGATTTTAACGCAATTATTATCCCATCTTTAGATTGTTTTGGATGGCTTTCAAATTAGATTAGGCTTGGGGATCCACCATTTCAGAAATGTAAGCAAAGAGAAGAACTGGGAAAGGGAAAAAGACGAGAGAAAAAGGCTGTAACGGTATCCCTGGCTATATGATTACCACACTGGGCATAAGTGGAGTACCAATGGCTTGTTGGAAGAGGAAATTTGCAGTTCCATTCTAGCTAATGGAGTTTTTGATATGTTATAAATCGTTGGCAAGATTTTCTTATGGGGATAATAATTCATTTTATTACCATCTGGGGCATGAATACCGTGTGTGGGAATCATTCTTGTGCAGTGTAGTTTTGATCCTCCCTGAAGGATCTACTTGTGCATCATCTGAGTTCACATATCTGGCATTATTGGTGATATGGGATGTATCTTCTTAGCTAGCTTGAAGCCGTAGAAACGAGTTACATAATGGGGTTGAGGTTGATATCATCCTTTATCGTGTTTTCTATAAAATGAATGAGAATAACTGATGACAATATTTCGCAGAGATGGACAAGGCTGCTTGAGAGGAGCTTGCTGCAATGCTTCGACCGTTGAAGAGTCACGAGGTTTAGGCTGGAAGTCGTGTGTAATGCCGTTATCGCTCTGAGTCTGTTTCCTCCACCTTTTGACTGTCTGTTTATATTTTTGCTTATGCCGCTATGAAGAAGATTGTTTTTGGTAAATTTGAGATTCTTTGCCTTTCCAGGCATGGTTGCCGTTATATTTTCAACATCTTGAGGTAATAATGCTGAAAAGCCTTGAGCCCTTTTGCCTCTTCACCTTAATGTCAAAGGGAAAAGAAATCTCAATTAAACACTGAACAAAATTTTCTGAAACAGTGTCAGGCAGTAGTCATTTATTTAATATTCTTCCCAAATTGTAACTTCATGAAATTCTTCCTAAATTAAAAAATTTTAGGTTCATTTAGTTATCTTGTTGCATCATGCTATAGTATCTAATCTAGTCTGGGTGTTAATGACCCTTTTTCATGTGAATCTCAAAACAATCTTTTCCATAAATCAAAATTGGAAGGCTACACCTGATCTTATAGTTGGAGGGACAATTTCTATTTATATAATTATAATAAATAATAAATATAAATGATTTTCTATTTCTATTATATGTGATGAGATGGATTTTCCAATAAGCCCCCGCAACTTCTAAGAAGATTCGACTTTGGGAGGGCCATTCCATTTGTGGACACTTTTCTTCCTGCCATGGGAAATCAAGTGCATGTTGCCTAGAAACAAACCGAAGCTTGTGGACCACAAGATTGTACAATGAATTGGGTCACATTGACATAGTGCACAAGCTTGCTCTTGTCCAAATTCAGCAATTGGTCAAATGACTCCAAGCCCCGTGAAATGAACATATGGAGTCCAGAGCATTGCTTTCGTTTGCTTGTGGGGTCCCCCATGTTTTATGGGCAACTTGGGATGTCTACTTCACGGTCCTCCACATTCTCTTCCCATTTGGACAAATTGGTTTTAGGGGACAGTAGAAGCTGCCAAGAAGGAAGAAGCAACCTTCTTTTACTGTACTTTTTTTCTTTAGTGGGGATCTGTGCAACGCTCGCGAGCACCTAATGAATCGTCACTCATCGAGTATGATAGTCCTTTTCTGTATCCTTTTCGATCATTAGAATGCCTAATTCCATTCTCGAAGGTAAAATAGAGAAATGCTGAAACAAAGGTGACGATTCATGAAGAATCGCAAGTGAAAATGAAACACCGCGAATAAATAAAAATGACAATAACAGAAACCCACGACTCAGAACTAGCAATTTGACAATCACAAGAAGTCCTTTTTCTCTTTTTGTGATAATCACTCTTTTTAACACTTTTTTATTCTATCGATTTTCCAATTGGTTCCTCAAACTTTAATTTGATCCATACTGTCGAGTTCTCTAAATTATATGAATTGCCCAATCATTGCCCCATGGGGTTTCCAACTTTTTTAATCTTAGTATTTACAATTTCATATGCCATGTCAGCATAGATAATTGCGTTGAATAATGAAAGGAATTGGATACCGTCGAAAGAACCCGATTGTAAACATTAAAAAAAAAAAAAATACAAGGACTCAATTACAAGTACGATATAAAAGGATCAAGAAGGATCTATCCATATCAGAATTGCAATGCATATTGCATACGAGACATCACTTCCAGGAAGGTTTTAGCTTTCATCTCTTTCTAGGGATAAACGGCTAAAGAGTAGGAACCAAGGAAAAGGAAAATTGCAAGACAAAGGACTGCCTGGTGCACCAAGATCCCGCGGTCCGGGGAAGGGTCGGACCGCTTTGGGTCGAAGGCGGGTGGGGCTACCTTGCAATTTTTGCAAGAGGGGCGTTTTTTCCAAGACTCGAACCCGTGACCCGCTAGGTCACACGGCGATGACTCTACCGTCGTGCCAAGGCACCCCTTCTAGCCGAATACAAAATAGCAGAAAAAAACTTGTTTACCACAAACATGATCAGCTGAGGTGGTCTATCAACAACGCATTCAGATCTGCTATAGTTAGAGAAAACAGGACAGCAACCCCAACAATGAACAAGTTCAACAGCTTTTTTTTTTTTTGGTCAGAAAACAAGTTCGACAGCTTAAGGGACTACAAAAAGTTCATCCTAGACATCTGGTGGCAAAATGGTAGGCTTGTTCTTTCTACTCTTGAAACCGTTTCTTCATGGTCTGATCTGTCCTTAACGAGCGTCTCTGTCTCTGTCTCTGTCTCTAGCTCATTTGATGAGCACCCTGTATTTCTTCCAATTCGAGGTTGAGCCCCTGAAAGTTGTCAGGTAATGAACATCGTCATGTAAAATTCTGTGTAGATTGATCGAGATTCAGGCTCGCAAGAGAACATGGCTCGAACACGATATTGAAAATGCAATGTTCTTACCACGCAGAACAGAGCTCTGGCTCCTCCCGCGATCGCTTCCCCGAAATCGCCGTTGAACTCGAGTCTGAAGCTCTAATATCTTCGCTTGATGAAGGGCTAGTGACCACTGGCGGTGGTGCCGCCAGAGATGATCCGCTGGGAACCACCTGGTGCTCCTTGTCGCCGTCGCTGTCCGCCGTGCCTCTATCTCTATCTCCATCACAACCGCTGTCGTCTCCCCCTCTTTCTCCGTGGCTAGACCTCGTCGAATCGCCATAATCGTCGCATACCCTACGGCTGTTGATGCACTCCTCGCACACCGAGACTATGGGAGAGAGCCTCGGCCCCGAGGCGTTCCACGGCGTGGGGCTCTGGCACGAGCGGCAGAGGAGGTTCCTCGAGTGCTTGGCCGCGAGGAAGTTCACGCCGTGGACCCTCGAATCACAGTCCCAGCACAGGTTCGCTCGGTCCGACCCGCAGTACATGGTGGCGGGGTTGTTGCAGAGCTCGCATGGCTTCTTCTCCTTCATCTCTGTCTCGCTCTCTCTCGCTCGCTCATTTCAGTTTCAATGACTTGTCTATGATCTTGTCTGTTTAAGTGGAGCTGGAGAAGATAGATGCTACATATATAGGCTCTCTCTTTCTCTCTCTCAAATTATAGAGCAAGTGGCAAATTTTTGTTGGAATACCATTTAATCTTTATTCATGCTCTATTTGTTTTGTGGAAAATAAATTTCCTAAATATGATCATTTGTATTGCTTGAAATAATTAGTCAATGAAAAATATTTTTATTATCGACAATAATTTATATCTAAATATTTTCATGGACAATGATGATATTATTTATTCATTTATTATTGTGAGCAGTATAAGCGATCATTTTTGGAAAATACTTTTAAAATCATTGATTTTCAGCCAAATATCCAAAGACTTAGGCTCACTTTGTTTTGTAAAAAATGAATGAGTTGAAAAATATTTTCCTTAAAATAATCGCCTGTATTGCTTGAAATAATTAGTCAATGGAAAATATTTTCATTATAGAAAGCAATTTATTTGTAAATATTTTTGTGGACGATGAATTTTTTTTTCATTCATTCATTTTTGTAATCGATAAAAGCAATCGTTTCCAGAATTTTTTTTCCAAATCATTCATTTTTCGAGAAATAAATGAACCTTAATAAAAGAATTCAATTGCGTATTTAAAATTTTTCCCAACATAAATTCAATATTAACTTTGTTTCAATTTAAATATGTCTAACATCGTTAATATTCTCTCAAATTCGATGTCTCATGTGTTAAATGTGGTTGTTTTCACTCGTCCGAAATATTAATGACTCATTGCACTCTTCATCTTGATATAATTATACAACCATTCACAAAGACGAGAAGAGGTTTATTAAATGTTTAGAAAATTGCTAAGATCTCGATAAGAATAGGTCTCGGGTTTTATTTCTATGTAACGATAGATCTAACTGGGGAAAAAATAATGAATGAATAATTAATGGTGAAATTTCTTAATTTAAGAGTGAACAATTTATCCTTTTAGGTTAATGGACGGAAAATAAATTTTGGCGCCATCTGTTTCACAGAAAACGAATGATTTGAAAAATGTTTTCCGAAAATTGATCACTTGTATTGATTGAAATAATTAGTCAATGAAAAATGTTTTCACCAATAATTTATGTTTAAATATTTTCGTGGAGGATGAAAATATTTTTTGTTTATTCATTTTTTAAGCGATACAAATGATTATTTCTTGGAAAATGTTTTTCAAATCATTCATTTTTCACGAAACAAACACGTCCTTATTCTGATTTCATTATGGAAAAATTTTAAAAAAAAAAACAAAGAGTGCCCTTGTTGCTTTCTCATGTGAATAAGGTATTATTACATAAAATAAAATATAGGTCATTTAATTGTGATCGGATGACGAAGCCCACCATGAAAGTTATATAATTTGTAAGCGGCCTTGCCTCTTGTCCCCTACTTTCTTATTTGAGAATTGTATGATGATTGGATATGTCTCATATTGCATGCTTCTAGATAATTCTTTTTTATTTCTTTCTTTTGTTTACATCTTGTAGTAATATTGAACTATAAAATTGATAGGCTAAAGAACAATTAGCATGCAAAAAGGGCCAAGAGCGATTGGATAACTAGGTACAATTCTAATGGCGTCCAATCTTCTTTCTTAAAAGGGTAAAATCTTAATCCAAAATGAGATCGTGGAGGTCAAAGATTTCCTTGAAGATGTGAAATCTAATCCATTAGGGATTAGTCTTTCCACGAAGTTGACTTTATTCTAATTCCAGAGGAAATTCCGCAAAAAATCTTAAACTTAACGAATTGAATATTTTCATTATAATTGAGAGGACTTGATTGCACTGGTTACCCATTTGGCAAGACACGGGGGGCCAAAAGTCGACTCATATCCTTGATTGCACCCGATCTTGGAGGCCAAAGACTTCCTTGAAGATGTAAAATCTTATTCACTAGGGATTAGTCTTTCCATGAAGTCAGACTCTATTCTAATTCCGGAGGAAATCCCACAAAAAGTCTCAAACTTTTCCTCGTAGAGTATCAATATCTAAATACTTTTTTCGTCTAATCAATATCCCAAACGTGTACCAATTATCCAAAAATACCTTTCCTTACAGTTCTGTCCTTAACGACCGTTAAGTCCAAGGCGGCAAGCGTGATGCTGCCACATAGGATTTTAAATGGTCATTATGGACGGAACTATGACGGAAGGTACTTTTGCGTCAATGATATAAGTTTGACGTAAAAAAAAAATTAGGATATGGATGTCTCATATGGCAAATTTGGACTTTTTGGTAGGATTAATCCAACGCAGGCTTAGTCCCCTAAAAAAATAATAATTGTGAAACCTCTATGACATTAGGGAATTAATCTTCTTCTTTATTGGGTTAAAGGGAATTAATCATCTTTAGTGACGCAAACTACCGACATATCAACATGGGATATGGTATGGTTGGATCACGTGGTATTTTCTAATGATTAACTGTCATTTGAAGTTAATAAATTCTTATCGTTTAGTTTGACAATGAATTTCTTGAGTCCATTTTTTTTCTCCTAACTCGTTCCAAATTATTTAATTGGACCATCAAAGTTTTTTTTATGCAATCATCTTACTTGATTGATGTGTACCGTCAAATCTTTTCATTATTAAACCTTAACAAATTGAATATTTTCACTATAGACATGAGGCAAGCTGCATAAGTATCATTTTATTGGTAAGTTGCTAATGGGAGATAGACATGATAACCCGAACGCACATATCAATTTAGAGGACTTGTTTGCACCGGTTTACACATCTGGCAAGACACAGGAGGCCAAAAGTCGACTTATATCTTATGATCGAAGTCAATTGATCAGTATATATCGATCTTTGCCAAATGAACTTAATCCAAATCTTCATACACAATGAAGATCAATCTCTCCCTTGATCCTTCCCATTTACATCATGTCCCACGTCAACAAGAAAAAAACCCTAGAAGAAAGGAGAGACCACACATTGAATTGGACTGTTCATGAAGAGCAAGAGGTGGGCATGGGTCCTCTCACCAAACCCAATGTGCGTTTCTGCAAAACTAGGTGCAGCCAAAACCAACGGCAGTTCGATGGTATTGAGTCAAGTGGGTCTTTGGTTACAATGTGAGTGGTTCATACTTAACCAAGCAATCTTTTCATTGTTCCATGGCCTTTAATTCTCATCATTTAAAAAATCTCATGGTGGGTCAACATGGGAGACTTGTTGGTCCTCTTGTTTTGGAGCATTGAATATGTCAGCAAGTTCTTCAATTGATGTCATTGTACTGACGTGTTATTTATTCCATCTAGATGGCAAAAATTCATGGTTCCAATCCCACCAGACACATGGCCCCCAAAGAAGTCGTACTTAATGCATATAGTATGACATCTCAAGTCTTATAACGATTGCGAGAGATCTCGTTCAGTGAGGTCATCGATTTGTGTGGCTAGTCGAAATGTTTATTTTGAGGAGTTAGTTTACGTGGAACGGCCAGTCATCACAAATAGAATTAGAGTAGGACCCCCTCTAATAAATGCGTGGTTCGTGACTAGTCTCTACTCGATTAAACAATAATGAAGAGTTATCATCGTTGTCAAGTACGGAGAAAGTCGCTTGGGATGCGAGTCGACGGCAATGAGGATGTGAAAATAAGGGTGGATGGATAAAGGCATTTGAGCAAGATGGCGGGTCACCACTTTAGAAGACGCTATTTAAGGTAGATTTGTGGTTACGAAAGCTGTCGCAAGGAGAAAACTTCGATTGAAACTCGACTTGATTTGAAATTGAAATTGAGTAAGAAAAGTCAATATCGCCATTACTAATAAATCAGGTGAAATCCAAAGCCACATCATCACAAACCTGACGTAATCGAGTCCGTGACTCTCTGATATATGATGCAATTTATTTTCCAAAATTTGGATAATTCCTAACAAGCATATTTTGTATCCTTCTATTTATGGGTATTTGGATAGTAATTTCAAGTTACGTGAAGTTTGGGGGAAAAAGGAAAATGCTCACTTCTGGGGAAACAATCTTTGGTTATTATTACAGTTAAATAAGGGAAAATGACACATTAATTTCACCCAATATACAATGTCATATTTGAACTTTTAATTTGTTCAATATGCTACTTGAACTATTCATTAATTCAATCATAAAATCAATCTTTTGGTAATATCATAAGCTTTTATATTTATATTATTGTCCATATATTTTTTTTCAAAATTCAATACACTTCCTATATAAAAAATGCTATATTTTATTACTTTTGTTTTAAATTTTCTCTTTAAATGTATTACGATAGTTCCATTTAGGTATCTTTAGCTTATGATTTCTATAACAGTACAAGTAGATACTCATTTAGAGTTATATTGGGTTGATATTCCTGCTATTTTAATAATAAGTTTTTTTTATAAGGATATCTTAAAACAATACTAATTTATCTACATATTATCGTACTTATAGTAATCTACTCTTATTTTTTCATATAGATAAAATGTTTAAGCTTTTCTGTTTTGTGTTTTTTAAGTTAAATTTAGTTAAATCTAAAAATTAGAAAATTAAAATAGTAGGCATATTGACCCAATACAACTCTAAATGAGGTTGTACTTTTATAGTTTTAGAGATCATAATCTAATATATACTTAAATGAAACTATCATAATATTTATAAAGACCGAAGGGTATATAGTTAACAAAAAGATAACATCTTTTCATTGATTTAGGAAATAGATTGAAATGAAAAGATATTATAAAATTTGAGCGATAGTGTAATTATGAAAACTTGTGAAAAGTATTGAAGGATTGATTTGACATTGTGATGGAAAGTTAATGGACTATATTGAATAAATTGAAAGTTTAGGAACTAGATTGAACATTTAGGAATAGTTTAAGGACCACATTGAATAAATTAAAAATTCAAAGATGATATTACACCTTGACTATTAATGTCATTTTCCCTTTGGATAATTATCACATTTTTCGTTTACATAATTATACTTAAAAGTTTATGTACTACTTTTAGAAATTAAAGTATCCTATTTTCTAGTCGAACTATGTAAATTAAGGAAACATAATCTAAATCTGTTGGATCTACGTGATTTAATGACCCGGTATCTTGACTGTAATGGTCTATATGTTTTTTCTTTTTATGCTACTAAAGTTAATAAGTGGTGGATACTATTACCCACAAACCTAATATTTTGAAAATCAGAGAAATTCTTCTTTTTGTCTCTATACTTTTACATCCTTTCTAAGCAAGTACTAATTTACTTAATTTGTTTAATTAATAATCCTTTTGTTTCCACAAAGTTCTAATCAAATCCTCCCAACATCAAATCTGGCCGAATCTAGCTAACGTGGCCAGTAGACAAAATAGTTGTGTGACGTAAATAAAAATTTTCCATAGTGAATGTCCACATCGGCTAAATTTTATCCACATTGACTCAATTTTAACCACATAATACTCTAATATCGTTTACACATGCTAAATTTTATTTACATCATAATCCAACATCGTCCACGTACATAGGCTAAACTTTTCCACACATGTCCATGTGGGGACCCGTATATTTTATCCGCATCATAATTTGGACGTTGGATGAATTTGACCGGATTTGGTATTGAAGGGATTTGATTATATAATTTGTGCTAGTTGAAGTACCTGACTACACAAATTAAATGTGAAAAGGTACATAAATAATCAGAAGAAATTTTCTATATGAATTCCAAAACAAAGCAAATCCTACATTTGGAGTAGTGGAGGAAACATTGTTAGGTGCTTCGGATGCATACGAAGTCGATGCATCACAACATTGGATTTTGATAGGTCCCATGTAGAATCTGCATTATCTAAGGGCTTGGTTGCACTGGGTTCGCATGTATCTGGTGCACCAAAAAATGTCTCCTAGTTGAGGCAAGTAATCTACGTTATAACTTATGCCAAAAAAAAACAATGATATATCATGGCTAATCTTCAAAATAGTGTATTAAAGACAGATGGACATCAGCCAACAAAAATTATGAAAAGAAGAAGATGCACATCTTGCATCCGAAACATAAGTGAGTAAAGTATCATTAACACGGGTAAGATGGAACTCATCAGGTAATAGACTTGATTAGGCAATCAAATTTGATAAATTTTCCTATGATAATCATTACGTATTATCCAGTGTAATTTTATTTTTTCGATGAAAGGGGAACGATAATATTATACATTGAGTTCCATAAAGTGGAAAGACGAAGCACTTGGGCTGAGCTTCGTGCACTAGTTTGGTCCGAGTCAAGTGTCCACTGGTTAATGGCAAACGCGGTCCATCATGTTCTTGCGGATCTCCAAGATAATTCAGCCATATGAAATGCCAAATTCATTTAGAATTAGACTCCATTTGTTTTGCAAAAATCTTTTGTTGGGAAAACATTTCCCTCAATTTTTGGCGTTTGATCACTTAGGAAAATGAGATAATTTTATCCCAGTTGACGGAAAATTATGCTTAAATTCAAGAAAAAGATTTCTTCTTTCAAAAATCAGAAATCATTTTTCAACATATGACTAAATATTGACACTTGGAACAAAGACTCTATACTTGGGCACAGGAACTCCAATGCCCATTCCTAGGTACTTGGCAATGGACCCGGGTCTAGAGGCCAGGGCTAGGTCCATTGAGGCTAGAATATGGTCCATCAAGGCTAGGCCCTAGTCCAAACAGGCTAGGCCCGAGATCCTGGTGTACGTGCTTAGATCCCCAATGCTTTAGCTCGGGTCCACAATGGTTGGGCCTAGGACACCAGCGTCCTAGATCCACAAATAATGGGCCCTGCACCTAGGTGCCCGGGCCCAGGACCCCTGCGCCCGAGCTCGGGTCAAGAAAAGCCATACTGAGGTCCCCGGTGCTCGTGCCCTAGATCCCCAATGCCTAGGCTTGGGTCCATCAAGGTCGGACATGAGACATCAATGCCTGTGCCTAAGTCCTCACGCCCAAGCTTAGATCCCTCGCATCAAGTCCCCGATGCTCGGGCCCGTGTCCATCAAGGCTAGGCCTAGGTCCATAGAGGCTTGGTCTAGGACCCCGATGTCCATGCCCAAGTCCTAGTGCTCGGGCCTGAGTGTATTATGGTTAGGGCCAAGACTCCCGTGCTTGTGCTCGGGTCAAGGCGCCCCATGGAGGTCGAGCCCGATACCCCACTATCAATGCCTTAGTCCCCTTGAGCCCGAGTCTATTAAGGCCAGGCACGGGACCTAGTGCCTAAGCTCAGGTGCTCGGAGCCTTGACCCAAGTCCATCAAGACTGAGCTCAGGACTCTAGTGTCCATGCCCGAGTCTTCGACGCTCGGGTCCAGGTCCATTGAGGTAGGGACCAAGTCTATTAAGGCCTGGCTCGGAGATCTAGGCATAGGCATTGGAGTCCTAAGCCCGACCTCCGTGGCCCTAGCCTGAGCTCGATGGACTCGGGTCTAGGCGCCAGGGATCTAGGCATAGGCACTAGAGTCCTGGGCCTGGCCTTGATGTACTTGAGCCCAAGCACCTAGGATCCGAGCATGGGCATTGGGGTCTTGGGCCCGGTCTCCATGGGCTTGGGCCCTTCTTCAATGTACGCGGGTTTGGGCACCGGGGACCTTCACTAGTGTCCTAGGCTTGACCTCCATTATCAAGGGCCTGGGTGCTGGGGACCTAGGCATGGGCATCAAGATCCCAGGCTTGACCTCGATGGACTCGGGCTCGCGCGCCGGGAAGATGGGCATAGGCACTAGTTCCTGGGCTTAGCCTTTGTGAACCCGAACTTGACCTCCATTAACTAGGCCCTAGGTGCTGGAGACTTGAGTGCGGGTCTATCGAGGCCAAGCTCATGACCTCGACGCCCGTGCCTAGGTCACTAGCCCCGGGATAGTGCATGTATTTTCAGGAAAGTAAAAGTAGGATTTTCTTTCCAAACAACGGAAAATAATTTCCAATCCATTTTCAGATTTCAGCCAAACACCGAAAAATTTTATTATTTTCCTGGAAAGTTACTTCTTGAAAAATATTTTTCAGAAATGCCAATATTTCGCGAAATGAACGCAGCATTAATCATCAGTTTTCAAAAATTTGAATTTGTTCAAGACTTATGTATAACAAAATCAATCTTTGGTAAGTAAAATCTAACAAATGTTAATGAACCACGAATCTAATGATACACCACTAACCCCGTTTGATCAATAAGCCTAATAATAAATTGAGGGTGTGTTTGTTTCGGGAAAAACTTTCATGATAAAGGAAAATATTTTCCGGGAAACCATTTCCAGGAAAATGTTATTCTCTTTTTAAGTTAGGGAATTCATTTTCCTAACTTTAGGCACGCATCTTTTCTTTTACCGTAACTGATTTTTTGTTGACCGATCATTTTCAAGAAAAAAAATGCGTAAAAGTACAAAAATCTAATTCGCAGAAATTTTTTCTGCTCAAACAGATGCACCCTTAGTTTATTCGTGATCTAGCATATTTGTTCTCGTGAAATCATAGGCAGTTTCATCATAGCCCGTAGAATACAATTACGATTTTTTTTGTTCAAGTTGTTACATATGTCTAATCTCCAATTGTTACAAATAAAGGATATATTTGCTATCTTAGTTTTAGATTAGGTGCAATAATTACTTCTTAAATAGAACATTGTCCAGTAATATCTTATGCGTAGAACTTTGTGACGCATCAAAGTTTACCCCAAAGATTTATTGGAAAAATTGTTAGATAACATGGAAAAATAAAAATAATTATTGGAAATCTATTGAAAAAGATGAGAAAATAATATCAATGTTTGAGGCGTGCTAGTCACTGTCCTTAAGGATAATTACGCCCCTCGGAGTACGAAACTCGGTGCGTAAGGCTCTAATGACTATCCCCCAAGATACAACAGACCTTCTTTTATACTCCGCACTGAATATTAGAATGAACAAGAATAACATTATGTGTATATCCCAACAAAGAAAGGAAAGATAGATAAAATAAAGAACAACGAATTCTTGTTTTGATATGTATATATATCACTTTCCAATTATGCTCAAAGTATTAATTTATAGGTACAAGAAAGAGAGCCGTTATAAAACAGTTGGCAATTATTAAAAAAGTGACCGTTATATAGCAGTTATAAAATAATGGAGGATTTATGAAGAATTAAATTAAATGTTACAAAGTTGTTATATGGCCGTTGCAAAATCGTTACAAAATGATGACTTTATGGCAATAATAAATTATAACAAATATTTCAAAATTGTTGAAATATTAACAAGATTGACGCAATTGATTGTGGTATCAAGAGATTTCTAGCTCATAAATTGGAGATTACATTTTTAAATTTCATCAACTGTGTACAATTGTTCTGGATCATTAGAGCCATTTGCATAGGCCAAAGGCCTGAATTTAATAGGTATAGAAGACTTGTAGGGTATTCCATGGACTTTCAAGTAGTTGAACCTCATAGGTTGTGCCCTTCGATTATAAAAACAAGAAACAATCAAAGGCGAGAAATTTTTAATAATGTTTAGTAATGGAAATACTTGGCTACTCTTAAAGCATCTTCTTTGCAACACTTTGTGAGGAAATACTGATGTGTGGCTTGGCACAATATATCCCGGAGGGAGTGAGCCTTACATAACATTTATATGGTTCAATATCTCAATTGCCCTTGCAACTCATTTATACTCCTTTGAGTCATATTTGGTGTGTGGTTCATATTTGATTGTTTGCTGAACTCTTAATGCTGTGTAATAGTAGATATAGACCAATGTCGAATGAGGTACCATATGAACTGAAAATGTAGGACCAATATAGCAAACGACCGATAGAATTCCACAAGAGTCGACGAATATTACACCCCAATCAGCTCGAATAGCTCACACATCAAATTTTACGGATCAACAAATACCAGACCTACAAAGAATCTTCAACAATGGCTTCCTCCAAAAGCTCCTCGGAGTCCCTCATCAATCCGGGACTCAACCTAAACATGAGCACACAGAACTCCTTCTCGTTCAACGCTCCATCGCCGTCCAAGTCGCCCTCTCGCAGCATCGACCTCAGCTCGTCGTCCCGCATCCCCTCCAGCCCCAGCAACGCCGAGTTCTTCTTCAAGCTATCGAAGGTGATCACGCCCTTGTCGCGGTCCCTCAGCAGATTGAAGCCGTTGCTCAGCTCCTTCATGAACCCGTCTGCCCCGAGCTTCTCCACCATCGCCGGGAAGAAGTCCTCGAACACGACATTGTTCCGTGATGCCATTGTCGAAAATAGCTCGAACCCACTCGAGTTCCCAAGTTTATCCAATCAGGGGTCTGTGTGTGAATGCATGGAATACATGGGGAGAGGGTGGTATATATAGGGGAGGGAAAGTGGCGAGATTTGAAGATGAAATTGCTTGAACGATTGAGAGAAATGAAGTTGTCCGATTAGGTGACAAAGAAGGTACAGCAAGAGAGAAACTGGTCAGGAAGGTGGTGTTGGCTTTGGATCCCTATTCCTTTTGGGAAGTGATAGCATCAAGGGGTCGTTTGCTTCGTCGGAAGGAGTTGTCTCCTTCCTCGAAGCTGCATGGGAAGGTCCGTGCATGTCAAGCGTCTTCATAAGGAGACATAAGTGGTTTAGATAAAGCTGTCAGGGAAGTCAATTTCCTAGAATGCCAACCTTGCAGTCAATTTTAAGAAAATAAAAAATGAATGTAGAGATAATGACTATAGTAAAAGCAGACATATTATAGTGAAGTCAATTTGATTGTAGTTTTTCTTTTTTCTTTTTTTTGGGTCAAATATTTTTGTTGTAGTTAGATGGGTACTTCTAGGGGAAGAAACTTTCCAAGTCAAATGAAGCAAGAGTCAAGCATTTGGTCTTGGAGGTAATATGCTGGAAAATGTTTTGTGACTTAGAAAGACCATTGTTCTCTCTTTGTAGAGTCTTTTAAGAATTATATAGTAGTATAGATCGATGAAGGATTAACAATTAAAAAATGTTTATTTATATTAGTAATTTATAGAAAAAAGCTTATATATATTTTGCGATCCGTACTAACAATTAATCTAGCAACACAAGCTCATACAGACTGGCTTTATGACACTGTCTTTATACTGCCATCGGTATTTTCTAGAAAAAATTATCCAATCAATCTTAAACCTATTGTGCGAATGCAATTCAGTCGTAAACTTTTTAATTTTATCAATTTAGTCCTAAACTTTTGCGCAAAATTTCAATATAATCCTTACAACCGATTTTTGCTAAAATGCTAATGTGATGGTGTGCCACGTAAGATGGCTAGTGATAACTACACCGCCACGTCAGCTATTTTCGACAAAAATTGATTCGAATGATTATATTTGAATTTGGTCAATATTTCGCCAAAGGTTAAGATTAAAAAACGTTTATGATTGAATTGATATTCGTAAAATAGGTGTAAGATTGATTGAGTAATTTTCCCAACATTTTTAGATTAAAAATTTCTATATAATGTCTAATTATTTTTATCTGAGTTAGGACAATGTCAAATCAGCAATCACTCCATTTGATGGAGACGTTTGCCAAATTATGTCGTTGAGTTGGCATAATGAAATGACGAATCGTGAGTAAGACCCGTTAACAAATTTAAGATTATGTTTTGGATGGGACCTTAAGAAGACGTAATATAATGATGCTTGTCTAACCAATAACAAACCCCGTGCCTTTTCCAATCCCTTTTGCATCACATAGATTAATATATATATATATATATATATATATATATATATATATATATGGAGATAGAATAAAAAGGACATAACAATGTTTATCACGGCATAGAAAGTTGGCAAATTAAATAAATAAATTACTACGGCGCGTAAACCTTTTAATGGTCTAAAAAATGCATTTATCGTCGTAGCATAAAAGCCCATTTTAGATTAGTAAACTCGAGATTATGAAAATACCAACCAGAATCATGATCTGAGATAAGTCGTGAATAAAAAATAAATCAATGCCCAAAACATAAAATTAATTGAAATTGATGGTTTAATTAAAGAATGGAAGATTGGTTGTAGGCTTGAATTACGAGTTAGTCTACACACATGTTTAACTTCATGCTATCCTCAATCTCATATGCTACCGGTTTCAGATGCGCTGCCTTAAGAATCGCCACGCAAAATGGGCTAGGGCAACCAAAAAGGCAAAGGCGGCAAGTTATTTTTGTCACGAACAGTCTATTGCGTTTGCTCCGACGTCGCCTTTGCCTAAGGCGATTAATTTATTTTATCGTCGAAGGCGACCCGAGAACTTTTTTTCGCTGTTGATGCCAAAGGCGACGGACGATAATCTGTCAACTTTGGTACCATGGGCGGCCAATGTTAGTCGTTGCCTCTGAAAACCAAAGGCGACAAACTAAAAAGTGTGTCGCACGAAAACGCGAAAACTCATTTTTGTCACCATAGACTTGCTAATGTTGACGAAATTTCGTTGCTTTTGTCGAGTCTATGGTGTTTGGTGACCAAAATTCATCGCCTTAAGCCAATTTTTTTTTGCCAAATTAGGAGCAAAGGTGAAGAAAAATTTATCATCTTTGTGAATTTCTTTTTGTCACATTCTATGGATTTCTCGGGTTGGACATCGCGACTAATCTTTTCATTTTTTTCTCCTGAGATATCGATCGTTAGTTTTTAGTGGGAATTTTTAAAATTATTGTTTTATTATTTTCACATTGGAAATTAAATTATTGAGTTTAAAAATTCATGATTTTGCTTCATCAAATACGAATGATAAGCTTGACAAATAATTTGAGTACATCATATTTGATATAAATAATATGTTCGGCAACATAATTATAAGGTAAAAAAAAGATCAATCATTATAAGTACCTAATCATATGTTCGGCAATTTCGTAAAATCCAGTCGTTGGCTTGCCGGAGATGGTAGGGTCGAGCGGCCACGGGGTAGAGGTGCAGCAGTGGTGTGGTATGAGGCAAGGGGCAGAGAGGGAGGAGAGAGAGAAGGGTGAGTATCACTAAAGCTCCGCTTGTTTAACGAAAAATGTGATATTTTTGGAAAATGTTTTTCAGAAAATTATTTTTTAAGAAAATGATAATATTTTTTGATGTTTGGCTAAATCCTGAAAATGAACTAGAAAATATTTTCTGTCGTTTGATATGGAAAATATGATTTGATTTTCCCATATAGACATATACTATTCGGGTACTAGTAACTTACACATAGGCATCCAAGGAACTAGGAATAGGCACTAGAGTCCCAAGTTCGACCTTGAAGGATCTCGACTTGGGTGCAAGGATCGGGGCATGGGCACCTGAGTCCTGGGCTCGGCCTTGATGGACCGGGCCGCGAGCGTCGGGGTATCGGGCCTTTCCTCGATGGACCAAGCGTAAGCATAGAGGTCCCAGGCCCGACCTCGATGAACCCAAGCACGGGCACTGGGGTCACTAACCTCGGCCTCAATAGACCTTGGCTCAGGCACCAAGGACTCGAGCCTGAGCGCCTAGGACCTAGGCATGGCCTTTGTGGACCCAGGCTCGAGTGCCGGGGATAAGAGCTCAAGTGTCGAGGACCCGAACACGGCCTTTGTTGACTCAGGCCTAGGCATTGGGGATCTGAGCTCGGGTACTAGGATCCTGTGCATGGCCTATGTGGACCCGGGCCCCGGCACAAAGTGCCGAGGCTTCGAGCTCGGCCTCAATAGACCCGAGCGCGGGTGGCGGGGGCTCGGGCACGGGCACCAGGGTCCTAGGCTCGACCTTGATGGACCCTAGCGTGGGTGCTAGGGACTGGGGCACGAGCACCGAGGTCACTAGGGCGGCCTCGATGGACTTAGGCCCGGGCACCAGAAACCTGGTCATGGACGCCAGGGACTCGGGAACCGGCGTTGGGTTTTCGTGATCAAGTGTAGAGTTTCGGGTCCGAGTACCCATGCCTAGTCATCATTTTGTAAAAAGGAAATCATTTTCTTGGACTTAAGTATAGGTTTTCCGTTGATTCATTTTTTTATATGAACCAAATGCCGGAAAATTAAAAAAAAAATTCCGAATATTTTTGTTGTGAAACAAACGAAGCTTAAGGTTTCTTTGTTTTACTTGGTGCGGACTAGCACGTGGCGCGAATCCAATGATCGTAAAATGGGGGGGGGGGGAGGGGGGCGAAGGGTTTTAGGGAGATGGGGAATGTATATGGGTATCATCTAGGAAGTACGGACACTCTTCGAGGCATCCGTGTCGTGTCGGACACCGACACTCGTCCGACACTTTTTTTATTATTTATTTATTTGTAGATTTGAATCAAATTAATTTGATTGAAAAATGATAATTTATCATGTATATATAAAAATATACACATAATATACAACGTGTTCTAACGTGTCGAAATTCTCATTTTTTGATAAATGACGTATCGGTGAGTCTTGTCGTGTCGCGTGTGAGTATCGGTGCTACTTGGGGTATCACAACCCCTGAGCCCATTTTTCTTATGGGTAGCGAAAGAGAGAATTTTGATGGTCGAACTATCAGTTTTATCCTCTCAATTTCAATAGGTATAGGGTCTAGAAAGTGACACTTTAAATATTATTTACATTTAACCTCCACAAACCTCCCCATATACGACAAACATTCACATTTTTTTTCTTTTTTGCTATCAAGTATGGTTGGAAGATTCCTCCAACAAATTAAAGGAAGTTAAAAGTTGAGGCGGTCGATGTAGGCCCGGATGGAAAATCCTCCAAATCAATAAGAACATTATAAGTTTATGTCAGGTCAACGGTTAGTGGGACTCTTAATCCTATGGACAACGAGACGTCTGATGAATGAATGACTCGACGTGTTTATCCCACTTCCTCGTATCATCTGCTTTTCTTTTAATCGCACGAGTACAAACAACGACCAAAGATCTCAGCCGTCGCCAAGCCTGCAGCGATAACCTTCTTCCAAAGCATCCACTTTCCAAGTCAATCTTTTCCTTGTATCTATCTTCCACGTTGATGGCACGACACATGTAGATAAGATGACTAGGAAAGTTGTAACGTGCTTGAAGGTTTTTTTTTGAGTGGTGATTTGTCCAATTGTGTAAAGGAAAATGTGAAAAATTACTCTATCGATTTTAAATTTACACGATAAGTGTACCAGAAGTCATACAACTTATTATGAAAGTATAATCGAGTCTTAAAACTTAAAAAAAAACTGTAATTGAGTACTAAAACTTATCACAAAAATGCAATCAAGTCCTAAAACTTGTCATGAAAATGCAATTGAGTCCTAAAATTTTCAAAAAGTGAAATCAATGAAAAGACTTGATTGGGCCAATTTGACAAATTTTAGGATTTGATTGCACTTTTTGAAAGTTTTAGGACTCAATTGTACTTTCACGAAAAGTTTTAGTACTTCTAATGCATTTATTCCTAAATTTATTGTATATATGTCAATTCAGTCATAAGCTTTTCTATTTTGCTGATTTAGTTCTAAACTTTTGCTCGAAATTTCAATATAGTTATTTTGGTCAATTTTCGTCGGAAATCGCTAATGTAATAGTATGTCACATGGGACGGCTTACGATGACTCGACTGCCACGTCATAGATTTTCCGCGAAAATTGACCGAAAGGACGACATTGGTATTTCGCGCAAAGGTTTATGACTAAATAAGCAAAATTGAAAAGTGAAAGACCGAATTGGTATAAGTACAATAGATT